ATTTTTAAATTCAGATGAACCTAGTGGTTGGTTATCATTTGACACAAATTCTGCTCCCTAGATTCACCTCTACATCACATCCATATTTGTGAACAATTAAAAAATATGATAAATTCTCGTCACCAAACAGGGACTTTGATTTAGCCCTTTGGGGACAGGCGACGTATATATACGTCCAGCTTCGAATCAACTCATAATTGATTTGTGTATACCTCTTACGATGTTTTTATGACCTGCGCTAGCACATAGACCGTTAATCTGTTATACTACCATTCGTATTGTGACCTCATTCACCTTTTTTCTTTTGCACTTATACCCATCACTTCTGTTCTTTCCTTACGTCATGTTCTACTGATATCATGTACGGTTTATTTTTTATTTATCTTCGCATACATTCTCTCTTTCATCATGGATTCTTTTTTTTTCTAGTACATTCTCGTTCCGTCGATTTCACTTATATATATATAGATGTATCTGTATTCGGTGGTAGTGAACTACAACTTCTAAATAAAGAACGTAACAAAACACTTTACACGTTTTTGTTTCTTTTGTAAATCAAAAGGGCAACAACTAGAAAATGCAGTAACAATGAAACTGACGAGGTTTCCAGTGGTGAATCAGAAATAGGGGTGGACCATTTAATTTAACGCGAGTTAATTAACGGCGTTAATTAACTAAAATCGTTAACCGTTAATACACTCCTGGACAAAAGTAACCGCCCCCTTGAACTGGTATCATTTGTTATGATATTTGGCTGATATTTTGGATAGAGACTGATCTCAGTGAACCCTGATCGTAAGCACCACCCCGCCCTCAATCGGTTGAGATACAGTAGAGTTATTAGTTCGGCAATATCATTACATTGTGAGAGTCATATCTCAGTCATCTTTTGACACTAATATTCGCGGAACCCCTCATTCGTAAGCACATTGATGGGGCTGTCTACGATAAAAAATTGGTAAGAAGTTAATCTAGAATAATGGAGTTCTAAAGTTCACATTGAAAACTTTCACCAAGTAATAAGCCATAGTTTTCACTATAGACTCAATAAATCGAGTTCAACTCAACTAATTGAGTTAAAAATTTCAGCAATAAGTTCCCATGAGCTCCTAAGTTTATGGTAGAATTTTCAGACCTGTAGCGCAATGTTAAGCCGAGATAGAATCATGAGAAGGGTTCATCACGGTATGTTTTGTCAATCGATGAAATAACTCTATTATGCGATGAGCTTTGGACACAAGAAACTACGTATTATGGGCTACAATTAGCACAAAAAAAATCGAAAATAAATTTTACAAGTACAAAATAGTAAACGAATATTTTATGCGATTGCATTACCATTTAGTTCTGTCAACACGTAATTACTATAGTACCAATGTCCGAGATGCTCCCATATTATAAAAACTTGACCCTAGTCTCAATCCTGCTCATTCCTTGGTAAACCCTAGAAGGATCTTGTCAAGTTTTATTTATGATCCTATTTAGAATCCTCGTAATTTCCTGTTCCCAGGATTTTTCAAGATTAGACAGAATCCTGTTTAGGGTTTCTTCAAGTTTCTGCTCCAATATTTTTTTCAATTGAGAATACAGGATTCTGTCAGGGTTTATTCAAATCCTTTGAAAGATTCTCTCAAGATTATGAGAAAGGATTGTACCAAGATTTTATTAGGTTCTCGTCAGGATCTAGGTCAAATCCTTGTATCAGTATCCTTTCAGGGATGAGAGTCACATTATTCGAGGATCTTGGTAAGAAAATAATAAGATCAGAAAGAATACGAAACTAACTAATCCTACAAAGCTTTAATCACGATCTTATTCGGAAATTCTCAAGAATATGTATTTGCAAACCTCGGAAAGCAATGTCAGTCCTAATCAGAATCTTGATAAGCAATTGTAAGGATTTAGCAAAGATCTTTACAGATTGCTGCTTAGTCCACTCAACCATGTCTATTTCCTGAGGTAGGCTTGAAGAATCTTTCAGAATCACAAATCTCAAAGATCCTGTGAGGTTTGATTCAGAGTTCTATCGAGGATTCGTTCAAGTTCTGGTTCGGATATTGTTTTGAATCGAGCTTGTACGATCTTGTTAAGGTTCACTGTTAATAATATTCAGGAACTTCAGAAACATCTTAAAGAGAATTCGTCAAGATTTCATCAGGTTTAAGTCAAGATCTGTTCTAGATCCTGATACAAGGATCCTGCCAAAAGTTATCGTTGTATCGGGCAATAATCATATCAGAAATAACATACGACTAGTCAGAATCCTCAACTAAGAAGTCCTACCAAACCTCGATCAGGTTCCTAAGCGGAATTGTTCAAGAACGGGTATTTCGAATGCTTAAAAGAATACAAGTATCATCAGGATTTTGATAAGAAAATATAAGAAGCCAGGTTAAGATCTTTTTAGGTTTCTGTTTAGAGACTATTCAAAATTCAATTTTTTCGAAAACTCTGTCAGGAACCTAGTAGGAATGAATGAAACAATACCGTGATGTTCTTAGCTATGTTCAGCTCAAGATCCTTTCAAGATTTGTAAATCTATAAATCATAACCGAATTCCAATACCAATGTTGAGTAAAATCTTAACAAAAATAAATAGAAGGATTTTTCAAGATGTTATTGTTTTTGTTCGAAACACGACAAAATTCTGATAAGTGAATAATCTACTGGCATTTTTATCCTGATCTTGATCTGGTTCTCTTTCCATAAACAAATAGAATAAATCTCAATAATCTGGAAAAAAAATTCCTAGTTTTTATAAAGTTTTTGTAAAACTTGTTTTGAGATTCGGACGGCGGTAATGAATTTTTTTTAATCTTATCAGAAAAAGAAAATTGAAAATCATTAAATTGGAGTGTTTATTTGAATTTAGTCATCGTAAATTTTTTTGTTAAACATATTATTTTAATTAGAAGTAAATCGTTCGATAAAAACTGCTTGTAGTTTTGATTACGTTTGAAAAAAATACCAAATATATTTTTTCGATCGAATTGAAATTAAAAAAAATCTAGATATATTTTTTAAATAGAATTGAAATAAAAGGAGCTCAAAATATTCTTCTTAAGTGGAATTGAAATTCAAAAAATTCTAAATATATTTTTTATATCGAATTGAAATTTGAAAAAAAAAAGTAAAATTCCACCGACTCAAATAAATATGTAAAATGGCATTGTATTTTCAAAATTTTTTAACAATAATTTCTACCTACATAAAATTCAAATAAAAGTTTATATTAAAGTCCGAAATCAAGATATTGAATGTTGAAGTAATATAGAATGACATGACACATCCAGCTCGGTAAGCTGATCGGTATGTAAACTGAAGGTATAGAGATCGATACTCTATGTGTTCATTTCTCTTATATTCTATGTAGGAAATCCTGCAAAGATCCTGTCAAGATGTTCAAGGAAATCTAGTCTAATTCTGAAAGATACGTTCAGAAATCTGTTTTTTTTTTCAATTCTGAATTATTAAAATCCTGACAGGATCCTGAAAAAACGTGGCTACACACTTTCTTCAGGATTCAGCGTTTCCTCAGGAAAAAAGAGCAAATCCTTGCAGGATCCTTAACGTATCTTTCAAGGATCTTGCACTGAAATATCAAAGATTTTCCCTAGGATAGCAATTAAATATTGGAATTTCAAAAATTTTGATTAAGTGACTTCAGATGGCCTCAAAAGTGAACGATTTTTTCTATCAAACCGTTACATTGGAAGTCAAAATTGAATGAAGAATGCTTTCAGAGTATCATCCACATCATTCCATTGATGGTTAAATTTCTATATTCAAGTCAAAGGTGATAGTACACAATTGTATTTTTCAACGTTTCTCTTATAAAAAAACTTTAAGTAATCCTCTATTATAGGATGTTCCAAAAGTCCGATCAAAGATTAGATGTAAATATCTTTGTTAGCTGTGAACTATATTTCAAGCTTGTTTTGAAACTCTCTAATAATAAATTATGCGCCACAAAACCGTATGAATGACATACAGAAACTATGCTTGATGTTAAAATCCAGTGGATGATGTCTGCTGCTGCGTAACAGAATAATCATGTGCTTTTATTTAAAAAACAATGGGACGATGTGTAAGTTAACAATAAAAATTACTATTTAGCGTGGCTCTTACACTATAAGTATTCCTGAAACTTGGTAATTCTTGTGGAAAGAGAAACATCTCACATTATTTTGAGGTTTATCTCGACGATACGTCCATAATCAGATAAAACAAATCCTCTTTGCCTTCGAAACGTGGTACTGAAGATTGATTGATATACTTTACTATAAAGAAAAAAACAACACTCATTGCCGTATGGTGCATCGAAGCGTGACATATTTGAATCGAACGATATATAGGTGAATTAAAATATATCGTAAACTTGCACGTGGAAAGAAAATTTGGCGATACTTTCTACCATTCTCTCACCTAATTATGCGCTTCGATTTTTCCGCTTTTCTTCTATCAATATGGCTCGTGATTTTTCTGTGTTACATACGCAAATCATACATGATAAAGACAAAATGGATGATGACAATCTTCAAAAACCGAATACCTATAACAAATATCTGCCCTTCTACGATTCAATTCAACGCCAAACTGATGAGGAATTCAATGAGATCCGTACACAACTCTCACGTATTATTCAATTGTGTGAACTACGATCGGGTTTTCCACTTTGGTCTGTCAAATTGCAACAATTCATCTCACTTCACGGCTACTGTTTTACCAAAGCCGATCATCTCAAACTGATCAATTTTTATCTTTCCGTCCTTTCCATTGATAATTTAAGTTTTAGAAATGTCAAAATATGTTTTAATCTACTCCAAGAACTCTTACAGTTCGTATTTTTGTTTTTTTTTCTGGAAGAAATCGTTGTTAATGCGTATTCTAGGAAAATCCGTCTGATCACTCGAGACGACTTGATCATCGATTGGCGATTATTATACAGATGGGCCAAACTTATTCGTTTCCATCATGATCAAGACTATTCACTTGTAGTAATGCCTAAGTGAGTAATACTCGATCAATAAATTAATTTCTACTGTTGTTTCTTGTTTCTTCAGTGACATCGAGTCGTCGTTTTTCAATTGCATATACTACTGTCGTTTCTATTTTTCGGTCACAGCCACTCAGGAAATCTTGGATGAATTTTGCCCATGGCTTTGTCCATTCGATACGGCTTTCGGCGATGCTATATATTTTTTCAATCTCTTTCTACCAGTTGCCTTACCGCCTAATTTGCATCATCAAGGATTCAAGTGAGCTTTTGAATTTCTGGGCTTTTTTGAGAGCAATATATCGATCGATGTTTAGATTGTGGCTACCGGAATTTCTTGGCATTTGGGAGAGTGTGTGTAATAATCCAAATTGGGAACAGGTTAGCATGTTTATTGATGATGTTTATCTACTCTTACGGAGGTTTTTAGAATATGATTCATATTTTTTCCTTTGTCGCTTGGTACAATATTGGATACATTGATTGGGAACCTTGGCTTTCACACGTATGACTTATTTTGCACAGATTCAATCTAATAATCTCATTTTTTCATTTAGATTTTTACACTTTTCCTGAAAATGTTATCACTTCCGGTGGGCAATCTTTCAATAGCCCCACCGAAAGATGTTTATTCAATACCTGTTATTGCATCATGGATCGTAGCAATGATGGGTAATGGAAGTTTGTGTCTTCAGTACGTACGAGATTCATTTACGGCAATCAAAAGCTTCTATCATCCGTCAAATATGGGTGATTTCCAAGAAGTTCTAATTCAGTTTCTCGTTCGATTAACTCAATCATTTGTCGATCGAGTCCATCTGTAAGTTGAACCTCTATCCTAGTTATATTGATAATCACATAAATTGTAGAGAAAGCAAAGCAGATCGTCTTTGGCAATTTAACCCACCTCCATCCTATCGATTAACCGAACAGGACATCACTGATTTTGTGAATTGTGTCAAAGAATGTGTGTTCATTTCCATTTTCAATAAAACTAATCTCAAAGATGCAGCAAAGGCATTCCGGAATCTGGCCATGCTTCGACCAGAACTAGTCGTGCCACCTATTGTTGAACAGTCTGTCTCTTTTATTTATTCAATTGATCGAATGTTTCGTTTTTCATTTATAGACTTTTTTCATCCGTCGACAGTATAACTGAACCACATCGTTTCACATCGATCTTGAATTGCCTGTCAGGCATCACACGCCAAATCGTTCAACAAACGCCGAATTTTCCTCAGGGTCAAACATATGTCTTACCCTTGCTGATGTCTGTTTTGCCCGGCATTGATTCAAACGATTTCGAGAAGACGAGCGAAACTTTTCAATTTCTAAAAGCAATTCTTATGCTTATTACTTGTGTCGATTGTTCATCAGCAATCAATACTCGAGACGATCTCACTCAGGTAGGATAGATTCATAGTTAGTTGTTTCAAATAAAGTATTGTCCGATGCTTGCATAGATCGAAAAAGAAGTATGTTTGTCAACGGCAAAATTCGAAGATTTCATCACTGAATTTCTCAATCGAACTTTTCAAATGATTGATATTCTTTCGACTGAAGTGTCCAATGCTCGTACAGTAACGAATGTGAAAGATGACACTACTGAGATAGAACTTACATCAGTAGTCACTGGTATCGTTCAACAGTGTAGTAGTAAAATCTTTCAGGTAAATAGCAAACCGAGAAAATCATGATGATCTGTTTTATATGTTTAGGTGGTCCGAGAAAAGATCATGAACTTTCTTGTCGCTTCATCATTTACACCAAGAGTTAGCAAATTACTCACGGATCTGGTTCAACCCATTCTCGAGGCGAATCCAATTGAAACACTCAAGTATCTCATGCCACAAACATGTGAACGTATTGAAAAAATAGTGCATGATTCCGAAACAACCATACTGACTGATCACAAAGGTGATATGGAGCTTACCTGGTGTTTAATTCTCTTCTCCAAACTTCTCGAAGCTCGTGGTGATACTTTGCTCATCTACAAATCGATGATTTTATCCGTTTTTCATCGGTGTATTCATATCATTCATAAAGAATCATATGAAGCTGTTGCCTATGCAGCAAAGAATTTGCTTCAATCTCTTTCGTATGTCTATCCAATCGATTATCGGTTGACAGTGGAAAATATCGATGAACCATTCATCGACTTTTTGCCTATTAGAGTAAGTTTTTTGATTTTTCAGGAAAAGAAAGTCACATTCCGTTCAGGCATGGGGTCAACCTGTGGAATTTGACAAGTTACAGCCTCAATTCCATATACCAAGTGCAGAAGAAGTGGATTTTGCATGTGAATTTGTCGAGACATTCATCTATCCGGAACTGACATTGTTGAATGAGAAAAGCTCGAATATGTCCAACGATGAACGACTTCGATCTCTTACAATTGTACATTTCATCGCTCTGGGATGCTTGCGAATGGTGCCACGTATTGACAGTGAAGAAGTATTAGATCTGTACGTAGTCCTTGGATAAGAAACTATCAATCAGACAAGATTTTTATTCTTATTAGTGCACTAACAGTTGCTCCTGTCGATTTCAAATACAAAGCTCAATATACAGTCTGTGCCAAAGAACCAAGTAAGTAAATCAAAATTCAACTTGATAACCATTCAAAGCTGAATTCGGCTCTAGAATTCAAAGAAAATCTGCGAATGCGTTTGATTATCGATATCGGAAAGTTACTCGGTTCGTTCTCTTAGAATGAAATAAGTATTCATATTGATTTTACTTGCTTTAATAGATCATCTAGTCGACAGACATTCGGACGATGCCTCGTCAATTTCAACAGCTCTGCAGGTATTTGTCAACCTTCTGAATCTAAACTTATTTGTGGTTGATTCCAGATCTATTCATTGCCATCGTGCTATTTTGGACTATTAGCGAACGATTATGCTAAATTAAACAATGATTTTGATATATTGAAATATTCATTTGAAAACAAACTCAGCGGCAGACGATATCATCCACGTTTTGTGATAATCAAACGTCTAGCAAAAGAAATACAGGTAACTGGAAAAAAGGTGTTGCAATGTGATAGCGGTTGTTGTTTTACAGTCATTTTCAATCGATAATTATCAATCGCTGACGAAAATCGATAAACAAGTGATACTCAAACTAGTAGAATTGTCTATTAATCGATACAGTCAAGTAAGTGAGGTCTTAGAAAGACACGTGTCATTACAGACGTTATATCTTAGGTTCGATGCATTGCACAAATCTATCTATTCACCATGTTACAGCGTTATGTCTTTTCATACAACGTAGTTGTCGATCGTATCCTGGAACTTCTTAATGCACCGGGTGAAGCTGATCATGACGAAATCAAAGTTTGTTCCTTGTTGTTTCTTTCAAATCATCGGTGTATTTCATTAATTAGGGTTGTTTATACATTCTACTGGGTGATGATGCCTTTTTCTTGCCTACAAAACATTCGTGGCCATTGCTTGAAAAACTGTGGCCATCAATTGCACGAACGACGCATGCCACTAAGATCAGCACACAAATTCTGATCGATCAAATTGTGGAGAAAATTACCAAACAGTTCGATATACCCGCAATCATCGAGGATACCAACGCTATATCCATACGTGCAGCGGTCGCTCTCTGGCGTCCGTTAGAACTTAAAGAAGTAGAAATACATGATCAAATTCGAGAAGAACATAATCAAGCAAACATTCAATCGTACAATAATCTCATGGAAACACTCAATTTGATATGCAATAACGATCGACTGCAAGTGTTACTTTTGAAAAAAATAAGATATTGTTGATTTCTCGAATATTTAGAACCTGGCGACAACAAGAGAGAACAGTCGTTTTTATCAGTCTTCTTCTTCAAAAGCATGTGCCGATTCCATCATCATGCATTCGAACATTCAGCAATTTTCTTGTTCATGACAATGTCAAATTACGAATGGTTAGTTGAAACATTTAACTGACAGAGATTATCTCATGTATATATTCAGGCAGCTTCTCCATCTATTTCAACCCTATGTCGTCTGCAAAAACTACCTCGAATCTATGTTGAAAAGACGCTTGAGGAGATTCTGCATAGGCCAATTAACACCGAATGTCATCCTGGTGATCGTGATGATAATTTATGGTTGACAATCAATGATTATAAACCACCAAAAAGCCAAGCCGAATGGGAACAAACCTGTTTTTTGGATAAGAGTTTTCATGGCTATTATAAGTGGCCGAAAATCATCAAATATCCACTGAATAAACGAGAACGATACACGCAAGAGAATATGCCAGAACAAGTAGCGATCTTGTACAATCGATTTATTGACAAAAACTTCATTGCAAAATTCATCCAATTAATGGTATTGGATAAAGAAGGAGATAGCAGTTTCGATGTGAATCGATTTCGAATGTTTAAGGTTAGATAATATATATATCAAAGAAAGCAAAAAGATATTTACACATATTTTCGAATGAAACATGTCTAGGGTCTCTTTCGAAACTTTGGCTCGGCCTTTGTTGATCATTTCATGGAACAATTGTATGCACTTATTCGTGAAAAGATAATAGAGATACAAGAAGGAAGTCAACGGGTAGCCGCCGAAATTGTTGCTGGTATGATTCGTGGATCAAAATATTGGACGGTAGAAATGGTGAGTGACTCTGTCAAGATTCTAGTCTATTTATATAATGTGCTTCTAGCTTGATGAACTCTGGTCCCAACTCACACCATTTCTCAACGAACTCTGTATGAATCTCAGTTCGGAAGCAGTTCTTAACTGGGGTTGTTGTTTCTGGTTTGCTGTGGTCAGTCTGAACATATAAAAAAATATTCTACGAAATAGTTTTTCTGTTCAATAGGCCGATGTAGATCCTCGACGAACGTATCATACTGTTGAATTTATGCGTTCTTTGATAAACACTCCTTCAACAGCAAATACATTCATTGAAACATCTCGCTGGAATCTAGTGGACCAACTGAGGAATTTCGAATGGCGCATTCCTGGAGTTTGGCATGAAGTCAATGCCCATGCCAAAGACTTGCTGGAACATCCATACAAAGCCGTACGAGAGTGTATTGCTTCGTAAGAGATGAATTTCAAAGTTTTAGCCGTAGGATCTTTCTCTTTATACCATAGTGTTCTCGGCACATCACTCAGTCACGATATAACGTTACCCAATGGTCAATCAATACGCCATCCCAGTGTCAATCTTTTTTTCGATGGCATACATGAACGATTGCAACGAGCGATAGACATCTGTGAAAAGGCGCCTCTCGGTAGATTTTTTGTTGACTCCAAACCCTACAGAAATTTGTTCCTTATAGCCAATATTTCTGGTGAAATCGTTGGAATCGATCCGAAAGCTCGTCAAGCACTGAACTTTATCGAAACAGGTAACGACGATCTGTACTTCTATTGAAAACAACTTATTTCATATCTTGCTTAGTAATTCAACTCTGCATAGAACTAACTGGCAGATCTCTACAGCCAATAAAACATGGAATCATTCGGCTATTTCCTCACGTATATATCACTATAGGCTTTATTTTTTTAGCAGAAAATATTTTCTCCCTGCCTTTGTTTTGCTTAGCTCTGCAGCATCGAAAGTATTGTGGCCAATGATGAAAGCCTTCGAGACCGTTTAACACTCAATCGAATGTCTACTGCTGTTACTTATTTGCATGTACCTTTTATAGAAGCATTCATCGAACAAATAGAATATGTATGTATCGAAAATAAACAGATGAATATTGTTCACTCTGATGTGTAGGTGTGCAAAAGTTCCAAGTGGCATGCACGTCGTGCTGCGATTGAATTTGTTCAGCATATGATCTTCTGTAATCTGTTCAATGCTCGTCCTTTTGCACCATGCGTACGTGAAATTGTTCTCAAATGTCTCTTCGATGAACAGCTCGAAGTGCGAACAATCGCCTCAGTCACTCTAGCTGGATTCTATCAATGTGGCTTCATTCAAATCACCAAGGAAGACCTGGTAAAAGATGATTATCTTCAGTTCCTTGACAAATATTGTTTGATTGACAGGAATATTTTCGTCTGATGAGCAAAACGAACTATTTCATCAGAGTCGATGGCAAGAAAGTGACATCAACCGAGAATATTGTTAAACGACACGGTGGTGTGTAGTTATGTGTTATAGATAATTTGACAGTCATATTTGTTTCGAGTAGGTGTTCTTGGTCTGTGTGCGATAGTTCTTTCAAGTCCATATGATATTCCAATTCATATTCCTCGTGCTTTGATGCTTCTATGCGAACATTCACACGATCCAAATCTCATTCGAGTAGATAAGTCTTGTGAAATCAGATAAGATTCCATTTTTCGTTTTAGAAATCAATCAAGAATGCCTTGTCAGAATTTCGTCGTACTCATCATGATTCATGGCATGAACACCGTGAAAAATTCACCGAAGATCAACTTGTCATTCTAGCTGATGTCCTGATTTCTCCGAACTATTATGCCTGATCCAGAACAAGATCGATTTTCTATCTAATGCTCACTTTTTCGTGTTGTATTTCAGACAAAAATTCATTTTATTGTTATTCAAGAGATTTGTATTTTATTCTTCAATCAAGAGTCATTGTCTTATAACAAATAACTCCAGATAATACTTTTTTTGGTCATTGTGTAGGTTGAATTGCCCTCTACAATACCGGCCAAAAGTATACAGTACACTGATCGGACATTAGTAAATAATCTAGGGTGTGGGTGTGGGTATGTTTAATAGAAGAAGTAGACCCACGCCGACACACACTCACACCCACCCCACACCCACAATGATCATATTAATTTTCATTTGATTTTACTATTT